GAAAGGAAAGAATAAACCAGGTGAATCTATCTCATAAGAGTAATGGAAATCACACCATCTGAGGGCCCTAACCAGGCAAAGGAGCTGATCAGAATGTGAATGGTCATAAATTTCAGAGTGAAAAATGGGAGAGAAAGCAGAATTATCCTCCCAAGCAGCCAAAGATGACACACACTGCAATGAGGCTGGTGAAGAAGCATGGGATATAAAGGAAGAGGAATGGCTGGTGACACCAACAGCCAATACGGTGCCACCAATAGAACTCAAAAAGGAGTGGTCTAAACTATTGAAAGAACACAAGGAAGAAGCCACATACAAAGATAAACATATAGGTAACAATCAGTACAATTCTGGCTGAGACCATCTGCCTGTGAATGAGGACCAAGCAACCAAAATTTGGGAAGTTGTGTGTGGAGAGGAGACGCAACTTCTTCCAAATCGGGAACACCCCAATGAGCACACAACTCCTGAAAAACAATAAGATCCAAAGACCACTCTGTCGGTAGAATCTTATCAGATCAGGATAACAGATCCATGACCAGATACAGGTTACCCGGAATATAACACGGCAGCAAAGTAATTTGATGGCTGAGGGCCAAATATAGAAGATCCAAAGTTTGAAAACTAAGGTCCCTCATATGGGTTCCTCCTTGCCTGGTGACATAGGACATAACCATCAAATTGTCTGAGTGGATCATCACTACCTGTCCCCGAAGAGACAGTAGGAAGTGAAGAATAGCTTTGCTGAACAGCAAGAAACTCAAAGTTATTGATATGGAGAGCAGATTTGGTAAGAGTCCAGCACCCCAAATCCTCCTGACAGTCAAGATATACTCCCCAAGTAGACAAGGAGGCATCTATAAAAAGGTGACAATCTGGAAAGGGCAGATGAAGAACCCCTGCAGTAGTATTGGTCCAATCCAGCCACAAACCAAAGTTTGTCAGTAATGGAGAGGGTAGGGTAAGAGGAGCATCCAATGGATCCCAAACAAAGCTCCATTGGTCGATTAAAGCCCACTAGAGATGATGCATATGGGCCCAACCAAGAGGAGTGAATTGAAAACCACACCAAGATGAACCAGAAACTGGGTAGGTGTGAAGAATAACTTCTCCACCATGATGAGACAACTGATCCTGGCAGTCTCCCCAAAATGAAATTGAGTATGGAAGGCAGAGTTGGCCTGTGAGTATGCCAGCAGGAGGCAGTCCTCCATATAATGGTGGAAACAAAGGCCTCAAGAATGAAGCAGTAGAGCAAATGACTGGACAACTCAGCAGAACACATAGGGAGCCTTGGCCAGGCTAAACAAAGTGCCTAAAACAGAAAAACACACCTGTGATGAACAAAACGAAGGAAATGTACGTATGCTGAGGAGATGGGAATATGGAGATATGTATCCATCTGACACATTGACCTTCATCATCCAAAGCTAAGTATGACTCCATGGTGAAGTTCGAAAGGATGAGGAAGTGATTCACATACGATAAATTGATCACTGTTCACCAGTTTCTCATCTTTTTGGAAATAACTGACAAGAATAAAACCTTTGACGAGAAGGATCTCCTCGTTCACTGGCACCTTTCTGGCATAAAACAGGATCCCCTAGAGAGGGGAAGGAAATTGGATGGGGAGACAACAAGAAGCACAGAGCCAAACCTTCAAAAACAATCTTCAAACCCATGGATCAACTAGAAACAACCTCCAAACATGAGCAAAGCGGAAGAGTCTGACCCTGACCCGAGTTCTTATGCAGAATGCCCCAAAAACAATTGCGCAACACAGATAGATGAGAAGTTGGGACTGGCAAAGGGTTAGAAGGTGGGGGGGGAGACAAGCAACTGAGACAGGAAGAAGTGGGTGAGACAAATGATAAGCCAGCAAGGAAAGAGTCCACCCTGGACTCCAAAGTGTCAAGAAGACCCCAAACACCTCTTCACAGAAAAATGGTGCCACGCACAGATCATGCAGTAAAGAAGCGGGTAAATAAATACTGGATGAAAGAGCATCCCAACTTAAAAGATACCAACATCATATCAACCACATCTGTAAAGCCAGGGCCAAAGAGTAGAGGCTTGACATAGTAGCAAATAGGAAACTATAAGAATCATCAGAAAATCCATCAGGAGACTGATGAATAATTTCCACCAAAAGATGAAGTGAGGATAAGGAGCAGAGAATACTGGACATTATAAGACGAAGACAGGAAAATTGAGGTTGGAAAAAGAAACCGAAGCATTAGAATCTGAACCCCACAAATGAACAAGAGATACCAAATGTTGGGAGTCTAAATATGGGTAGTTGGCATGATGAAAAGCAAAAGCATGATCATCCAATGTATGAGGGGGATGAGGCATACTGACCCCCAATCAAAACTGTTCTGCAAAATGACTAACTTAACCTCAATATCCGGTGAAGGAGGAAAAACCAGATATTGACCCAAAGATTCATCCCCCAGAAAGGCAGGGGTAGAATCATTGGAAACAGGAGACAAAGACAAAATGAAACAAATCTGATTAATCAAGTTAACAAAGGGAGGAGGAGGCCTGGGCAAGTAACCTGATATAACACACAGCTAAGAAGCATATTCAAGAGGGGGGAAAAGGCTGTCCAAATTCTCATCCTCCCTGTCAGATACATCAGAAGCTGGTATGAAAAGATACTCCTCAGGTGGTGGTGAATGTTGCATGAAATCAGACCATTCTTAAGAGATCATAGTAGTCACATCACTGGCTGATAACTGTGGGACCGACCCCAAAGATGTAGTCAGTAAATCTGCAGGTGCAGTAACAGCAGTGGTAGTTGTAATTACTTGCTTACAAAGTATAAACTTGAACAAATTGAACAAAAAGTATTGAGGAAAAAATGCACTAAATGAAGATATAACGAAAATTGTAAGCAAAAATAAATGTCTTAACAGTAAGACTGCCAATTGAGAAGTTATTAACCGTGCATTATTATATAGGGTGCTGGTTATGATAGGGGTAGTGTCACATTCCTACTGGTGGAGGGTTGCTGTATGATCATTGGCAAGCGAAAAATTTGTGCCAATAGAGAGCAATACTAATTGAGAATGTTTTTTGTGAGAGGAGATACCATATTGTATTGGAAAATATAGTAGTAATTTACTTTTTCAAAATTCTGATGTTGTTGGAGGTATAACAAAACCTGTTTTTAGTAAGTTATTAGAATTTGTCACAAAAGAGACTAATTTTTGTTTTAATGGTTGCCATTATGAACAACTTGATGGAGTGTCCATGAGTTCATAGGTTGCACCAGATTTAGTTAATTTGTTTTTAAGTTATCATGAAAGAAGGTCATTAGAAAATTGTTCTGACCAGTTTCAACCTTTATATTACAGAAGACCAGATGATGATACATTTGTAGCTTTTAAAAACAAACTTCATCATATTCAAGAATTTCAAAATTATTTGAAGTCAACACCATAATATTAAATATACAATTGAAAAACATACTGATAAAACTTTACCTTTTTTAGATAGTTAACTTAGGAAGAAGTTTTGAGACTAAGTGTTACCATACACCAACATTTACAGTGCAATATTTTAATTCTAATAATTTTTTACCTTTAAATTTTAAGAACAATTTAATTTATTGGGCCTATAATAAAGTTCCTTTTCTGATTTCCATGAAGAAGTACAAAATATAAAGGGTTTTTTTTCAAAAAAAAAAGTTGTTTTCCTGTACAGTTAATTGATTGTATTATTAATACATTTCTAAAATCAGTAAATGTGTTGAAATTAAAGAGATAGTTAAATGTATTACACTTTACAAACACGCAATAGGATTGAAGAAACCAAAGTGATATTGAATAATAAATTTTATTCACAAATTACATTTCAAATTGATTTCAAACTGATATGTTGTATATTATTTCAAATTTAAGGACAGGATCCCTAAAAGTTTTGCTCTTATGTCATCTATAAATTTACATTTCCAAAGTGAAGCGATGGCTATGTGGGCTTGATTTCCTTGTTTGAGCTCAAGAGGTAAAGAGCATGCACAAAATACATTATATAATCAGTTGGCCATTCTTCATCACTATTTTCATGGGCATGGGAAGAGGGGTCTGATTTTCTAATTTACAGCTCTGTAACTAAATAAGATTGGAGGCTATTCAAATTATGCTTCGCCTGATGATAACAATATTATAATGAGTATTTTACATTAAATTTCAAACTTCTTGGAGGGGTAGTAAATAAAGTAGAGAAGAGGGGATACCAAGGGAACAAATGTGACAATTCTCATATTAGGGTGAGACTGAGAATTTTTTAAAATATTTCCTTAAAAAATTGAAAACTTAAAACTTATATAATATTAAAATTGGTTTATTAACTATGTTTTTATGTCAAGTTTATTCATATACCATGATAACATAGTAGTTTAATAAATGTTGAATATAACTCGGTAAAACTTCTTGACGTGTGCTGAAAAGGATGCCTGTATGGAAAGAGTTAATTAACAATGCTGATAAAGTAAAAAATAGAATAAATAATAATCATTTATATTCATAAATGAACAAACATCTGTAAATAATCTGATTCCAGTTTCATATTACAAGTGAACTATTTCATTTAAGAAAACTGATTTAAAAAATAATAAAATTTTATACCCTTTTAAAACATGTACTTGTGGTAACACAGCCTTCTTCAACATTCTAGTTATATAAAATTCTGTTATGTTATGAACACCATAATATTATTGACAAAATGAGGTATAATAACTGTGTTAACTAAACAAACAGAAGGTTACTGTTGATGTTACTGATACTTAAATGTGTTAAAAACATTTAAATAAAATTGTCAAGTAACACAATTTAATGTGATATTATTAGAACTAAAATACAGCATTGGGAATACCATATAAAGCAAGAGAAGCTTGCAGATGATTTTTTCTTACTGCACCAAACATGGGCTTCAGTGCCATTTGATCAAGGGAACAGAATTCCATAAACATAGCTTAAAAAATACAAATTAGTAACCTCTTGGGATACGGAAGAGTGAGAGGAAGACTGAACATCGTCCAGTAGATTCTGAAGCTGTTGGTTTTCTAGTTCCAGCTGAAGAACCCTGGACTCTGCATCATTATTCAGTTGTTCGTGAAGACTATTTTCAAACACTGTTGATGAAGGTTAATACACAAAAGCTTAACTATTCATGTACTCTATTTTAAAAAATTAAGATACAATGACATGCATACAGCATTATACACAAAGACTGTTCCTTCTCCTTCATTCATATTCATAAATAAGTGTCACAAATAAAAACAAATATTCAATTGTCAATGTATCAGTCATATCATGCTCAAAATCATTGTAAGATAATTCAGGTATTACACCTAATAGAAACTTAGGCATTATATACCATACATAATCAATCATTTGTCTGACTGACTGACAGACTAATGGATCATATATTTACCAGTTTTGGTGTTAAACATCATAAATAATCCAGTTTGTCAACTAGTAGACTAATGGATCACACCTTTGCAGTTTTGGTGTCATACAGCATAAGTAATCAATTATTTGCCAACTAGTTGAATAATAGATCACACTTTGCCACTTTTGGTGTTATACACCATAAGTACTTAACTATTTTATCATCTAATGAATCATAACTTGCCAGTTTTGGTGTTACAAATTCAACTATTTTTCAATTATTCAACTAATGGATTACATCCTGACAGCTTAGGATTTTTACATCATAAAAAATAAAATTTTTGTGAGTTAGGTTTCCAACAGGCCACAGTATGATAGCTTAGATATTTAATATGCAGAACACCATAAACATTTAAATTAAGCCTATATCATACATATTACCTGGTGACTGTTCCATATTTTGGCCTTTCAAGACAGCATGCATCTGACTAACTTCATCAAGTGCCAATTTCTTGTCTAAATACAACATGGTATTTTCTTCCTCCAGCTGTTGGATTTTTTCTCGATCTGATTCCTGGTCCTTCACACAAATGACAGTTTAAAAAAAATAAGTTGATAATTACTAGTTATGCTGCAATACTTTTGAATATTATTCCTTTAATATTCTATGAGACAAACTGTCAGAATATGAGCTTTTAAGTGTTTCAAATTTTGTAAACATAACAAAGTTAAATCGTCTCTTCAAGTGTAAAAACACTGGAGCAATATAATGCCATTTTATGTCCATTTCCTCTTAAAAAAATAAACAATTTTCAACTGCAAATATTGCTGATGTTTTGATTAGCAACATATGCCATGTTGGATATGAATCAGCAGCTAAGATCACTACTTGTGCAGATTAGGCTTTGTGTATTGATTTGGTGCACTAACACTTCTAGCAGGAAATTTAAACTGCATTATGTGATCACCATACAGCAATGGGTATACATAAAGGGTTAAGTTAACAATAACATCTGCAAAAAACAATTTACATATCAAAAGATATTTTTTTTTTACCAGGACTAAACTTGTTTCTCATGATTACATAATAGAACTGATGGGACTGAAATTTCCAATGCTTATTCCTGCCTAATTTCTTGAATGAGATATTGTTTCAGTCTATAGACAATCAGTTATATTTACTAATCAATTAACTCTTTCCATACAGATTAAGTATTTCTACTAATGATTTGACCCAGAATGTATGGAGTCAAGAGTCTTGATTATTCTGTGTGCAAAGTTTTTCACATTAAAATTAAAAAAAAACTTTTCTTCAACTGAAAATGTTCAAGTTTTCATTTGCATAAGCAATAAAACCTCCTAAATAAATATCAAACTTTTTTGTTTTATTCATTAAAAATTAAAATTTTATCTGTTATTTTCTCTACCCCTGATCTAAAAGGACTTGGTTGATTTGACAAAAATAGTAACCCCCACAAACAATATTAAATAAATCTAAATTACTTTTTTTTTCTAGAATGACTGCAGATTGTAACATAAAACAATAATTGTTTATCCTATATAGCTTAAAGCATGTAATGGTCTACACCTGTTTATAATTAATTTTATTGTCCTTTGAACCATGTATAACTAATAATACTGCCACACAAGTTGTAAATCAATTGGCAAATGCATAACTCGCATTACTGTATTGAATGACGTAACACACAAAATGCTCATGAACATGTCAGGAATATTGGACATTATTTTTCATTATCTTACGTAATCTAACCAAACAAGTTTATAATTTTTACATTTTAGTTACTTGTTACAAGTTATAATTTTCCTATACTGAAAATATATTTCCAATAGGTACTTACCCCCTCTCACATAATAGCTATTCTCGTTCAGTGCTACCCTCAATATGCAAAAATTTTCTTCAGATGCAACAAGCCTTACAATCACCTGATTCACCTGTGTCTCACATGTAAATCATCATGCGACAACCCTCCACCAATAAGAGTGTGACACACTCTCCTGATGCATATGATTCCCTCTACTCAATTCTACTGAACTATCAATTCATGTTTTGGCATGGAAGCAAAGATTTACAGTAGGAAGGAAGGGTGAGAGGAGGTAAGTGCTTATTGGAAATATCTTTTCAGTATAGGAAAATTATAACTTCTGATACAGTACATTACCTCCTCTCAGATAAATAGCTAGAATCCCACACTGAACAGGTGGAAGGACCAGTGCAATGGAAAAACAAAGCAACATTCCTCGAAAGCATCTGAAGAACACCCTAAAAAAGTAGATCCTCACAGTAGAGGATCATAAGTAGAAGACCACACCATATCTGTACCCAGTGTAGAATTAGGTGTCGCAGACATGGGCAGAAAAAGGGAGAAGCACATCCATACGGGAGAGAAAAATGGTAGGATAAGGATCCAAACCACCATATCCAAATTTCAATCCCAGAGAGTACCGAAATGTGGGTGAAAGTAAAAGGATGTGTCCCTAGGTGTAGAGTGGCTAAGGCACGACAAACTGTACACGGCAAGTAAACTGCATCTAAAACCCAACTGCCAGAAACCAACATCCATGCAGGGGTAGGATGAGGATCATACCATTGGTAAGTCAACTACAATCCAAAACCCAGCCACCAGGAAATGACATTTATATGGGGGTAGAAAAGAGGATCATACTGCCAGCAGGTCAACTACAATCCAAAACCAACATCCATGTGAGGGTAGGAAAGAGAATCATACCAGTGGCAAGTCAACTACAAGGAGGAGGATTGTACCGTCTGCACCTCAAGTTCAGCAGAATGGAGGAAATCACAAACCTGTCACTTTATGAACGGGACACATGATAGCAATGTGATAAATTGTTTGACCGATTTGGGAACCCAACATATGGACAATCAGCAAAAGAAAGATGTCGTGGTAATGGAAACTCACTCAAAACCATCTGACAGTAACCCCCCCCCCCCCAGCAATAACATGCTCAGTATAGGAAAACTTCGAGGGATAATGTAAAAGGAAGAACTGTATTAATCTACATGTACAACCATGACCCATAGCATGAGTGGAGGGAACAAAAGTATAACTGAGTGAGACACCTATAAGACGTGTGAGAACTTACGTTGATTGGTTAAGCTCCAAATCCAAAATCCAGCCACTGGGAACCAACATCCATATGGGGGTAGGATGAGGGATCCCTATAAAAGGAGTGAACTGTATTTTGATGGCTCACTCCAACGATACAACATCCCCTCGGATAAACCCATACAGAGATGGAGCATCAGATTGGAGGACATCTCATCTACACCAGCAGAACACCACCATCCTACTCTCAACTGAATGGTTGTAACATTATTTGTATCATATGTTAACATCACATTCAGGAGGTTGCCTACATGATCCGCCACCCAAGTGGCTTGGAACTGGACAGTATTAAGGACTACCATACTCCACTGGAAGTAAAATGAGGGGAGAAAATGAGGTGGAGAGTCCAGAGGAATGTCAACACCAGACTGGTGACTACAAAAAACAAACCCTATTTCAAAAAGCAGACCATACCTGATTTATTCAATCAAAGGTATTGCAGGGATGGGTAGCTATCCCCTACTGCTTTACCCATGAAGTCTATAGTTGAGTACAGTCCCGAAAGGGCATTTTAATGAAGCAAATATATTGCTAGGAAAATCCTACAAGTGATTTTTTTGTGGAACACCCCATCTCAACAGTGAGCATTTTATGTTTATAGAAATATGTAGTCAACATGGCCTGACAGTGCAGATTTGACTATTTGAAGCACACCTAGTTAGGTACCACTTGCCACAGAGCAGGATCCAGACAGTAAGAAAAAAAAAAAAAGGGAAAAGCCCCTGAAAAAGAATATATATAAGATAACTTACCCAGTCACTGTCTCACTGAATTCTGAAGAATGGTTACAGTCGGAAGATGATAACCCGAAGATGAAGACACAACGATCCAATGCAGATGGTGAGATATGAACAGATGTGGAATATTCAATATGCCCGATTGAAGAATTTCCTCTAAGAGGCAAGGAACACGTGAAGCCAGGGAAAACGTAAGGTGACTGATCTGATAAGAAGATACCTGGAACAAATTATGGGACGAAAAAGCAGATAAGGAAGAATAAGCCAATCAAATTTAAAGCCAAACCCAACTGGTCAGGGTGAAGGTGAAAGGTCACAAAGAGAGGATGTCTGCCAAAAAACGAATAGTCAGCAATGGGCACAACAGAAGGAAGCCATGCAGGCAACATAACAATGTAGAGCAAGAATGGGCATAGTAGCCTCTCCAGATCCAACCAGATAAAGGTGGAAAATGGAAGAGACAGGAAATTGTCAAAAGGGAGGATTCACTCTCCCAAGTCACCAAAGTTTTTGGAAGGAAAGATTGATCTGGATAAAGGAGAATACATGTGAAAGGATATAGAGTACGTGAAACGTTGATGGCAAATATATCGACTGACGACATCCACAGGCTAATACGAGAAAGAAATAAGTCTTAATGGATATGTGAAAAATTGAGCATGAGGACAGAGGTTCAAACAAAGGCAGTGAAGAACCACATTAACATCCCAGTCTGGAAGGACAGCATGCCAAGGTGGATGACTAATACGGAAGGAATGCAATAATTGGGAAATGATAGGAGAGGTGAAAACATTAAAGTATCTAGAAAGACAAAAAGTGTGAAATTAGGCAGTCCAATAACCCACAATCGAGGAGACATATGACCCCCGATCAAACATCCAAGTGAGGAAATGCATAATATGAGAACCAAAGACCAACAGTGGAAAATGTTCCACTTACATTGATAAACATCCCAAGAAGAAGGGTGAAAGGAACAAGCTAAAAAAGAAGCAACCTGCTGAGACAAACCAGGTCTGCTCACCAGAGACCAAATAAAAACCAGGCATGAAGACGGAAGATATTAAAGGCTGGATGAAATGCCAGTGACTGAGGTTGACATAGAAGCAATGGAGGAAGAGGTAAGGGAAGGGCAGAGTGAGACTGGAGCAGCCATTGATACCATGGTTATGCCAGGCAGTACGGAGTAATCAGAAGGACTTGACACTCTGTAAAGAAGATAGATGGGAGGATAAACATACAGGTATTTGTTGGTCCAATCTTGACTGAATACACTGACAGCCAGAGCAAGAGAATGAAGAAACCGGAGACCAAACAGAGTAACTTGGTATTGAAGGATATGGCCAAAACACACCAGGTAGTCACCAGTACGGTTGGTGACGTGTCCATCTGCACCAAATAAAACGACATGATGAAGAACCCCTGGAGGTAGGAACAGGTTAGAGCTGGGAAGAAGCTGGACAGGAAACAGTAATAGGGGCATGTTTAGTCTCTGAATGAGACAAACAATCCACCAAAGAAGAAAGGGTAGTTTGTTGTCACACCAACTCCACACAGGATTCCAAAGTCTCAGGAATATTACTGAAAACATATCGCTGTCAAAAAGGGGCCATACACAAGTCCCAGAGATAAGTAGGCATTAAATGAACCTGGGGCAAAGCAGCATCCCTCCCCAAGAGATCTCAACAATAAAGAAACCA